ATATATGTGTGTGTGTGTGTGTGTGTGTGTGTGTGTGTGTGTGTGTGTGTGTGTGTGTGTGTGTGTGTGTGTGTGTGAGAGAGAGAGAGAGAGAGAGAGAGAGAGAGAGAGAGAGAGAACCATATTTCATCTCTCTTTCTCTGTGAAATATGGTTCTGGAGGAGAGCTTTGCAGATAATGCTGGACTGCCAGAAAAAATGCACAAGTGAGTCCTAGAGCCTGAACAAAACGGACAAAAATGAAGCTGTCTTATTTTCAGCATATCATGAGAAGGCAAGATTCCCTGGAAAAGATGATAATGTTGGGAAAATTTGAAGGCTGCAGGAAAAGGTAGGGAGAGATGAACACTGAAGCTGTTTATTAAGTTGAAAGTTCATTGTAGAAAAAAGTTTTACAATCATCCATTCCTTAAACACATGCAGTTATGCAGCATGAATAAGAAAACAAGATAAACCACAAAGTAAAAAAATGTTTATACAATAACCGCAGACAAGCACTTTGAAGTGTGTACTCTATATCTAAAATGAAGTTAGAATATATTTTACTTACAAATATGCTGAGTCCAGTTGTCAGTTGCCTGAAATACAGAGTACAAATACTAAGGAAAGCAAACAAGATACATCTCTAGTTGAGAATGAAGGCAATAAAACTTATTCCATTATGTCTTATGACATAGCTCAGATTCCACAGCAATTTTTTTTACAGGGCAGATTAATTTCTACCTGCCAATGAGTCTATTTCTGTCAGTGGTTAGTAATTCCCATGTATTTATTTACTTTGTGCATTTATATACTGCTGACTTAATGCAAAACACTACTGTAAGCGGTTTACAGCAACATACTACAGTATAGTAATGACCCAACAACCAACAGTGTATGTCTGAAATAAAAAATAAAAATAAAAAAACAAGGCCACAATGATAGTGACACTGAGAGCACAGAATATCTCAGGAAAGGGTCTTTTTGAATGCCTCTTTAAACAGAACAGTCTTTAGCATCCTTTTAAAGGATGGAAGGGAAAGGGCCTGATATACTTCTTCCAGGAGCCCATTCCATAATGATGGGACCACAACTAAGGCGGCATGAGTTCTGGTGACAGTCTTTTTTTTGCCTCTTAGGGTGGGCATCCCAAGAAGTACAGCCTGAAAAGAACAGGTGATTCAGGCTGATGTTCTGAGGGAGAAACACTCTGACATATAATGGAGTCCATAGTTCTAGTACTACAATTCCATAGATTTATGTATATATAATAAATGAACTATAGTTCAGATATTTTTGGATTAATATAGTTTCATGCTCTGATTTGGCATGACAACACTTCTGGCTGCCCTGACCAGAGAGACAGAAAAAATGCTACTTTGTCAACTCTCCTCAGCCTCTTGACATTTCACATTATGAGATTCTTCTGCAATAGTTATGTGATGGGAACTAGAAGGGCAACATTTTGTGCTCCAAACAATGCCATTGTTTGGTTTTTGATGTATGAATTGATGCATGGATTACATTTTTGCACTAATCAGGCAGTTACACAAGTTATTTTTTATATATTTTATTATTAATTACATATATATTTTTAACTTGTGTGTGTGTGTATGTGTGTGTATACACACATAAGTGTCTGTCACTTCTGAAGATATATATGTTGGTCACTTCTAGGTGGCAGTTAACAAGCTCCTGCTAGGATTCTCAACTACTTGCAATGCCAGCAGCTACCCAGCATTCCCAAGAATCCCAGTGGCAACTCATTGCCAGCTAGAAGTGACTCAATGTTATGCTATTTGCCTACCACACACACAATTGAGCTGTTGCTTAATATTACCCTACAGCATGAGCATTTGAGAAGTACACCTAACTTGAAAACGCTGTAACCCACGTAAGTGTCTGTCACTTCTGAAGAAGCCACAAGTCTTGCTCCAGAAGACTAACACAGGCGTTGTCTGCCATCAAATCACTTCTAAGTTACAGGAACCCATATATGTGTGTGTGTGTGTGTGTGTGTGTGTGTGTGTGTGTGTGTGTGTGTGTGTGTGTGTGTGTGTGTGTGTGTGAGAGAGAGAGAGAGAGAGAGAGAGAGAGAGAGAGAGAGAGAACCATATTTCATCTCTCTTTCTCTGTGAAATATGGTTCTGGAGGAGAGCTTTGCAGATAATGCTGGACTGCCAGAAAAAATGCACAAGTGAGTCCTAGAGCCTGAACAAAACGGACAAAAATGAAGCTGTCTTATTTTCAGCATATCATGAGAAGGCAAGATTCCCTGGAAAAGATGATAATGTTGGGAAAATTTGAAGGCTGCAGGAAAAGGTAGGGAGAGATGAACACTGAAGCTGTTTATTAAGTTGAAAGTTCATTGTAGAAAAAAGTTTTACAATCATCCATTCCTTAAACACATGCAGTTATGCAGCATGAATAAGAAAACAAGATAAACCACAAAGTAAAAAAATGTTTATACAATAACCGCAGACAAGCACTTTGAAGTGTGTACTCTATATCTAAAATGAAGTTAGAATATATTTTACTTACAAATATGCTGAGTCCAGTTGTCAGTTGCCTGAAATACAGAGTACAAATACTAAGGAAAGCAAACAAGATACATTTCTAGTTGAGAATGAAAACAATAAAACTTATTCCATTATGTCTTATGACATAGCTCAGATTCTGCAGTAATTTATTTACAGGGCAGATTAATTTCTACCTGCCAATGAGTCTATTTCTGTCAGTGGTTAGTAATTCCCATTTATTTATTTACTTTGTGCTTAACGAGCGCCCCATTTAACGACAAATCCGGATAGCGATTAGGTTTTTGCAATCGCAAAAGCGATCGCATAATGATGCTTTGAATGGTAAAAAATTGCTTTGCGATGATCGGTAAGCTATTTCGCTTACCGATTTTCGCATAGCGATTTTTTTCCAACAGCTGATTGGCGGTTCCAAAATGGCTGCCGGGGAAAATAATGGCAGCCCGCTCTTTTTTGGGATGGATTCCTAGCTTACCGGGCAGCGAAAATGGCTGCTGTATGGAGGATTTTCGCTTAAAGGTAAATTTTTCCCTCATTGGAATGCATCGAAGGGGTTTCAATGGGGTTTTTAAAATCACATAGCGATGTTTTCGGTTAGCGGCTATTTTTGCCACACCAATTAACATCGCTATGCGAGGCACCACTGTATATACTGCTGACAGTGCAAAACACTACTGTAGGCGGTTTACAGCAACATACTATAGTAGTGACCCAACAACCAACAGTATATGTCTGAAATAAAAAAAACAATAGAGACAAAGCCACAATGTTAGTGACACTGAGAGCACAGAATATCTCAGACGAGATGGTTGGATAGTGTCATCAAAGCTACCAGCATGAATTTGACCAAACTCTGGGAGTCAGTGGAAGACAGGAGGGCTTGGAGTGCTCTGGTCTATGGGGTCACGAAGAGTCGGACATGACTAAATGACTAAACAAGAAAGGCAGCATTTTCAAACTATGCAAATACAAAGTGGTCAAGAAGAGATGTAACACTGCAAAACCCCACCCCCAGTTAGTTTCCACAGTCAAGTGGGAATTTGTATCTAGATTTTCTAGACCTCTTCATCTGCTATACTAAAACAGACAGCTCACTGAAATGCGTCACTAAGGAAGCCTACATCTTGTATTCAAGATATTGGCCCAAATGCTCTTGTCTAGTTGTGCTGGCATAACACAAATGGCTTTGGGAGGCAAACTACCTTCGGTTGAGAAATCAACATAGACAGTACCTCTTGCAAGCCCTGGCTATAACCCACTGAGCTATACCAGTTCACCTTTTACTGTAGGGAGTGATTTGTCCAGGACGTAAGAACGACACAGTCGACATTTTCGCTGAGAAGTGAACCTGCCTTGCTCCTCAACGTAACTTCACTTGGAGCAGAGAAAGGAGTCGCAGGTTTAGATAAATCCTAAGGAGATGAGTTTGGGGGGAACGACGCGCCTCCCTTCCCACAGGAGTTCGTTCCCCCAGCCGTATCTCTCCTCCCCCTAACTTCTCGACCCCTCCGCCCCACCGCCCCGCGACACGCCGGAGAGTAACCGCAGTGAGGCAGAAGGATATGAGAAGACGAGGCAAGACGGTCGGGAGCTCTCGGCGGCAGAGCTCGGCATCCCAGCCCTCTATCTCCGCCAGTGACGAGAGCGCTTCCATGGCGGCGTCGGCGCCGCCGTCCGAATCTGCCGCCACCANTGCCGCCACCAGCGAGAGCCCGCCACTTGCCCCCCGCCGTATCCCGTCAGCCATCGCGGCGGTCACAGCAATGGCGCAGGCGCCCTGCAGGGGCTGGCGGAACTTGCCGAGAGTGGAGGCCGGGAGGGAGGGAAGCCGGGAACGAACGGACGGGCGGAAGGAAGGAAGGAAGGAAGGAGGCGGAAGCTCGGCGAGTGGAGCCTCTTTCGGGTTTGCCTATCCCTGCGGCGCTCTCTCTCTCTCTTCTTGAGGTAAAGTGAACTTGATGACCAAGGCGGGTTCGGATAAATGTTTGGACGGTATGGCTTCGAATTCCACATGGGGGTTGAATATTCTCGAAGAATAATGATGATAATAATAATAGAAACGTTTAACATTTCTCCTTGTAGAAAAGCAGCGTTCTAAATTTGAAAGGCTGTTGGTGGAAATATGAACTAGAGGGCGCTTGCCTGGCCCTCGGGAACCGCTCGTTTTCCGAAACGATGCCTTGCATCCTTCTCTGAACACGGCTTATCACACCACGTTCGTGAGAACTGAGCCAGAAACCCAGGAATCTGCTTTCCTGCCCGGCGCCTCTAGCTTAATTCTGCTTCTCTCACCAGGTTGGCTTTTCGAGGTTTCAGACTGGAGTGTTGGTTTTTTTTTAAATCCCTGCCTGGAGATGTCAGCGGTTGAACCCTGGACCTTTTGCTTGCAACGTTTGTTGTCTAATCTTTGTAACATAGCGCCCCGAAAACGTTGGCCTTTTCTGATTTCGGAAGCACAGTCGGGCCCAGGGAGCACCTGGCTAGGAGATCACCAGAGATCTCCCGCTAGAGCTGGGATCTTGCCTGAAGCCCCCGGAGATTGACAGTGATGGGCTGTGTGTCATTTGCCTCAATATAAACCATAGAGACAACCCTAGCCGGCCAGGCATAAGAAAGGCACTGCCTTCTGTTTGGCTTCAAACTACAGTACCAGGGCCTCTGGTTATCCCTGGAATGCAGGGAGAGGAGCTTGGGACTTAATGGGTTAGGGTTTGCACTGGCTGGAACTTTGAAACTTCAGGTCAAATTGTGATAGTGTTGTCACATCATCTTTGGTATTGTAGCCTGCTTTTCTCTTTCTCCTCTCCCTCCCTCACACACACACACACACCTTCTTTCCCATCATTTGACAAATTGTGAACTCAGTTCTTTCTCATTTTAATAATGGACCAAAAAGGGGGTGGAAGGGGGAAACAGGAGCTTTCTACAGTAAGAAAGTAGGGTCACTTCATTTTTAGATGAGAATATGGAATTAATTGTTATAATTGTAATTGTATTTTTATGATTTTATACATGTTTATATTGATGTGTTTTTATCTATGTAAGCCGCCCCGAGTAGACATTGTCCAGAGGGGCGGGGTAAAAATCTGATTGAAATTGAAATAAATAAATATAAATAAATAAATACCCTTCTGAGTAATAGGGATTATTGAAAGTATAGTAACGATGTATGGGAAATACATCTGTGCGAGAGGCTAAGTATATATGTTTAAAAGCAAAGAAAGACTGATTGAAATTGGCTTGGGCAAAGCATTCTCCCTTCACAAAATGGATCATATCCATAATAAGTTCTCTAGTCATTGTGGACAGAACAGTATCATTTTTTCTAAGAAGTACAGAAAAGAACAGTGTGGAGATTTTTATGGACATTTAATTATCCTCAATTATCCACCCTTCACAGTTGCGAAAATGATATGGGAGTACAGTACTGTATAGTTATTGTGTCTTTACTAGTTATGTTGTCTGCAAGATGACTGTTTTGACTCTTTTCTTTTTCCTTTCAAGAAGATCTCTGTAGAGCCAGAAGAAGGCACAGTTATACAGACAAGGATCTCACAGCAAAACTGGACTTGCAAACTTCCTTTCAATATACAATACTAAATATTTATATTGCTGGTGTGTCTATAAGTTTATACTTTGAATTTTTCTTCAGAAGAAAATGGATTTCCAGTTCAACTTCTCTATAGATACTGTTCCAGAAAACAAAATAGATGCTACTGGAGATAGAAAAATGCAGGAGAAAACAGTAGATGCATCTACGGACAAAAAAGAAAATGCCACTGAAAGTAATGAAGGAATTTCCTCAGAGGAACATATAATTAACTGGGAATCTTTATCAAAACTCACTGCTAATGTGACAGCGTGCACTGCTTTGAGTGAAAATGGGACAAGTTTGCCAAAGAAACATTTCTGTCCTCAGTCTGTGAAGGAGCATAATATTCCTAAAGATGGCAGCAAAGTGTTAGAAAATAAGGTTGTGGTAACCCTACCATGCACTTCTGCTGGTATTTCTGTGGTGGAGACAACTTTCCCAGTTGATCTCACTGGAGGAGATGTAGTGTCTAAAAGTATTTCTTCTCACTCTGATCTAATCACAGGTGTCTATGAAGGTGGTCTGAAGATCTGGGAGTGTACCTATGATCTCATTGATTATTTAGTAGAAGCTGAAATTCCATTTGCACAGAAGTCTGTTTTGGATCTTGGCTGTGGGGCTGGATTGTTGGGAGTGCTTGCATTGAAAAGTCATGCTAAAGAAGTTCACTTTCAAGACTACAACAGCTCAGTGATTGAAGAAATAACTCTACCTAATGTATTGGTTAACTGTGCATATCAAGGTGATGATGTTGGAGGAATTGCTGATCCTTGCCTAAAACAATGCTCAGAAAGAGACTTTGATCAAGACTTGCTCTCTAAATGCAAATTCTTTTCTGGGGAATGGTCAGCATTTAGTAAACTCCTTTTAAGTAGCAAGAAGCCCTTAGCAAAATATGATCTCATCCTCACCTCTGAGACTATTTACAATCCCAATTACTATGAAGCTTTGCATGATACACTTTCTCATTTATTGGGAATAAATGGTTGTGTGTTTTTGGCAAGTAAAGCACATTATTTTGGGTGTGGTGGTGGGGTTCTCCTTTTTACAAAATTTATTGAAGAAAAAAATATTTTTAAGTGTAGAACTGTTAAAGTTATTGAAAAAGGACTAAATCGTTTCATTATTGAACTAGTCTTTAAGAATTCCTTTTAACATGTTTTCTGGCTGAATAGATTCCAAGACATGTTTCTGTTTTATTATGGCTTCTTTGGTAAATTCCAGGGTGGTTATTCTTGGTTCATAATTGTGTTTTTCTTACCTGGTTTCTTCTATATTTTCCTTATTCTTTTTGACAACATAGAATTCTTTCTAGAAACTCTCAGATTCTTCAAACACCTACCTTTTGATATAGTAATGTATTCCAAGTAAAGAATCTAAATGTTCTTTGCATGATTTGGAATTATCCGGTGCAGAATAGACACCATTCCTGTATAGTTTGCTTCCTTAATGTACATAAAACCTACCCTGTGAATCTCATTGGGCTTTTTTTTTCAGTTAGAGAACCTGGTCCAAGTAATATCACCTGAAATCCAGTAGTAAGTTGGAACTTCAATGAGTCAAATCCTCAGTAAATTCCAGTCATTTAGTGGGTGTACACTAAGTGTGATTTACTACTTTTTTGCCCTGAAAAACATGCCTCCAGGTGGGGGGGTCATCTTCTACGCTGGGTGCACTTCAGTTGGGATAGACATATCGGCCCATAGTGGCCTTCCGATGCTTGCCCGGTGCCCATAGTAGCCTGCCGATGCCTGCCCATCTCATTCTACATAGCGTCTAGTATCGCGCGGTATCCAGTGTGGCGCGGTATCCAGTGTGGCGGTATCCAGTGTGGCAAGCATCAGCAGCAAGACGGGTGCCAGCCTTATCGACGTGACCGGCCCGTTCTGCTCGGCGGGAAGCAGCAGCGCTCCGTCCCGCCCCTTGTCTACGCAGAGCTCACACATGCACACTTGCGCACTAGTGCCGGTCACAGGGAGATCTCATTTTAATCATCCAATCCTTCAATCTAGCAGCTTTTTTTACTTGCGCACTAGTGCCAGTCACAGGGAGATCTCATTTTACTCATTCAATACTTCATCTAGCAGCTTTTTTATCCTTAAACCAATCAAGTAAATCCTTGAAATTTGCTGGGAAATTTTCTATTTCAGTCACTAATTTTAATGGTGAAGTAAGCTTGTCCCAGTTCCCGCCAACCTAGCGATTCAAAAGCATGCAAATGTGAGTAGATAAATAGGGACCACCTCGGTGGGAAGGTAACAGTGTTCTGTGTCTTAGTTGCACTGGCCATGTGACCACGGAAGATTGTCTTTGGACAAACACTGGCTCTATGGCTTGGAAATGGGGATGAGCACTGCCCCCTAGAGTCAAACACAACTGGACAAAAATTGTCAAGGGGAACCTTTACCTTTACCTACCATTACTCCAGTAAATTCATGTCAGGCTGTGATGTACACCCAGTGTCCTTTGTTTATTTTCCCTCTAAACACAAGTCTACCCTCTGGATGCATTTCCTCACTTCACGCTGCCACCAGGTATTAGTCCCTCAATACCAAATAGATAGATCTTCGACACATGCTGCCAATACAACAGATTTATTGATAATATTGATGTTATGCCAATCACAGGAGAAAATCACGGATGTTTAGGAGTATTCATTAAATATCATTTGCTTTCACTTTGGTTTGCATGTTTATTCACTGTTACAATATTCTTTGACTATTTATTCTCTATACTTTGGAACTCTTTCCTACTCTTTCTAGCATTCCAACTTTCCAATCTCTGTCCTAACTTTCTCAGTTCCATCTCCTAACTAACTCTCTTCAATTCCCTATCTCAAAATCTCTTTTCTCCAACTCTCCTCCCTAACTGTCTATCTGTCCTTTTGGTTCCGTCCCTCCTGTCCTCTCATAGGCTCCTGCCCTTGAGCTCCTCATGATGGAGAGGCGTGACGTGGAGGTTCTGCCACAGCCTCTTTTTATATCTATTCCATACATTTAACATATTTCATTAAAAAGGGTTATTCAGCTGATACTGTATTTCTTTTTACTACATTGAATACATATTTTATAAACGTTCCCATTTATTTCTGAGGATTACGTATCCCACAAAATTAAGTTTGTTATATATAATACCTCAAATAAATCTTAGCTGATTCACTATATAATTCCAGGAGGATGAGAATGGTGACCAGCATCCAGTGTCCTACCTGAGTAGGAAACTCCAGAAAGGTGAGAGACATTTGGCTGACCATTCACCACTGCATTGATTAATCCCTGCCAATATTTTAAACCTTCTTCTAAGTGTATTGGGAGCATCCTGAATAAAAAGGTAATTTTTGGTAATATTTTCATTTTGAGCATAGCGATTCTCCCAAACCACAATAGTTTCAATATAGAACATTCCAATAATTTATTTTTAATATCACTCTTTAATTTATTAAAATTTTGCTATTTTAGTTTCTGAATATTTATACCTAAATATTTAATATAATTACAAATTTTAAAACTATATTTATTTACAAACATTTCTTGTTCATGTTTGTTATGATTAAACATCATTACTAGTGTTTTTGCCAATTAATAGTTAATCCTGTTATTTCCCCAAATTTTTTCTAAATGATTTTTAATATTATGCATACTTTGTAATGGGTTTTAATAGTCAATAATGAGTCATCAGCAAATAAATTAATCTTAATTATATCATTTTTCCTAATCCTTTAATTTATTCATCATTTCTTACTGCATTAGCTACAGTTCTGTAACCATACAAAACAGTATTGGTTGAAGTGGACAGCCTTGTCTTGTACCTCAGCCTAGAAAAATCTGCTCGGTTAAACCATCATTAACTATTATTTCTGAAGTATTATCTGAATATAATTGGTCTATAACCCCTATAAATCTT